AGAAAGTAATAATAAAAAAATCTACTTTTATTAAATTTGACAATAAATTAATTTATAACTACGCAATATGAAAACTTTATTACCATAAATTCGGCAACAGCACGTATCAAAGAAATACGCTCTTCTTCAGTATTATGTTCACTAGATATATCCGCATCAGGATCAAATCTTTTGACCAGCCAAACAAGAATTTCCGCAACAAGTGGAAAATTAGGTAAACGAAAATTTCCAACAGAAATAAGCCTAGGATAACCAAGAACCCGCATCATTTCCGTAAAATCTATCGAAAAATAAATACAATTGTTATACTTATATACTATAAAATTTATTATAAAAATGTTAATTTACTTCTGAGGTCACGAAATGACATTCTTTTATGTAAGAATGAAAACTAAATAAACTATAACATTTCTGTACAACGTTCCACGTTGTGTTTTGATTTACATTCGGAACGTTGCTATGGAAATGTATTGAATATAATAAAAATGATAGTTTTCTTCAAATAATAAGATCAAAAAGCAACTTTTTAGAATTATCGTTACACCAAATTTAAATTTACACTCACTTTCGTATTGTTTGTCATTTTATTATAATTGTTATAGTGTATGGAATTCAAAAATGTAACATGTGATAATCGCAAATCATTCAATATTAATTTTTCTTTTACAATATGGATGTTGTCTGATTAAATGCATAAAATAATATTTTAACATAATATTCTTATTACAATCATAACTGTTAATGACTCAAATTGTTCAAATTAAAAGAAAATGAAGAAAACATATTAGTATCAAATTTTTGGCCCCACAACAGATTTTATCAATACATATTTTATATTATACTTCATTTATTTTAAGTGTTTTATATACATATATCATTAACAAAATTAAAAGTCTATGAAATCAGATTTTCTAGTTTGTTTGATTTCGGAACGTTTTCGTTTTTCAAAAAGCCTCTTTCTTGCTGCCCGGAGTAATTGCTTCCTTTTAAATTCTTCTGATTCTGGAGTTATTTCTGCTGGTGGTTTTGCAGCTTCCCGTATTATTTCTCTTAGCTTTTCAAGAGCATCAGCTAGATTTAACTGTTGTGATCTTGTTAGCTCTGACTTGACTATTAAATAACCTTCTTTAGTTAATTTATTTGCATTCTGTAATGAATATATTAACACAAACAACTTATTTTTATTAAATATGTTTTTTTCATAAATCACAAACCTTTTCTAATAATTTGTCTCTGAGTTCTTCTGATAACCATGTAGCACTTTTTACATGAAACCTTACATCCACTTTACTATTTGTACGATTTACATGTTGTCCTCCAGCACCACTACTTCTACTATAAGTAATTTCGAGATCTTTAAGGGGTAAAAAGCCATTAAATTTAGCATTTGGATCTTCTGGAACCTGAAAAGATTTATTAAAATGAATATAATTTATATTAATGATTCGAAAAATGTTATAGA